CCTACACGATTCAGATTTGGCCCAAATCGGGGACAGTGACTTGATTAGTTTATTTGGATTGCTGTCTCCAATTTGATTCGGACTGATCCAAATCTGAAGACTCATTGCCAATTCAGAGAATCGGCAATTTGGACATAGACACAGCTTTAAATGTTTTTTCTACATTCCTCGAGGTACCAGGCAGGGCTCATGAATGCTGCAATGCTGAGGCAGATGAAGTGTACCACAGGAGCGTGGGGGGGCCCACCAGCGCACTCCCTGGTGAACTTTTGGGTCCACTGGGGAGTGTGTTGGGGGGGGGGGGGTCTGTGGCCCCCCCCCCCAGCTCAGTGATCGGCTGCAGGGGGATCCCGGATGCCCCCCCAGACCCAGGAGGCACCAGTTTCTGAGCCAGGGGGAGAGGGTTCATGGGGGGGCCCCATCATGCACCCAGCAGACCCAGTGGTGCTTCTGGTCCACTTCTGGGTCTGCTGCTGAGTGTTGGGGACCCCCCCCCGTGCTTCTGTGGTACACTCCATGTGCCCCACCATTGCAGCACTCATGAGCCCCTGCTACCTAGTGGTACGTAGAAAAAACATGTAAAGCTGTCTCTATGTCCAAATTGCTGAGTTTTTCCAAATCGATTCAGAGGGTTCTGATTTTATTCGGAGATATTAAAGGGTCCTTTGATTCAACTCGGATTTGAAGATTTGGCCACCGAATCAGGCCAAATCTCCACCGAATTGAATCGGGGACCAAAGCTTCACGCAGCCCTAATTTATACACCTTGAGTACTTTCAGCCAAGATCCACTAAGTGGCAGTATAAGAAGGAGAAATAACTTGCAGGGGTTAGGCTGAATTTGTAGTGCTGCCTATTGGAAAACGATATTGGTTTTGACTCAGCAAAATTAGATCAAGAATTTGCAGATAGAGGGTGAATCTGGAATACTGTTGCCATTTTAAATTGTTTAATGTATTTTAATTGTTTAAATGAATGTAATTGTAATTGTTTAAACAATCGGCTGCTCTTTTAGGGTGATCTTGGAGTTGTGCGTGAACACTTTCCTTCCCTCAGTTTTGTGTTCTCCATGACCCAGGAACATTCACAAACTTTCCTTAACTAGAGATAAGTAGTTAGCTGTGTTAGCCTGAAGTCAAGCAGAAGGCAGGGCAGAGAGAGTACTTCAGAGATTAGGCCACAGCTTCCCAACTCCATCCTCCATCTCTTCAGAAATAGGTTCAGAGTGCTGGGACACACTGGTTTGTTTGTCTCTACTTACTGTAGGAAAATCCCTGTAGGTTTGTGTTTTTTTCCTGATGCTTAATTCACATAGTCCTGGAGGACACTTGTCTTGGGTGAATGCTGAAAAGGACAAAAATAAAATGCTGACCCTTAGGATATCTTTTCAGACTAAGTTCTGAATCTTGTTCTATTTTAATTAGTTTTGCATCATGATGACTTCACTGCCCTTTCACAGAGTTAAAAACCTAGCCCAAGTATTTATTCCCTGTGCTCTGACAGCTATGATATTGTATTCAGGATCAAGTTAAAATTATGCCTTATCAACATCAGACAATTGTATCTTATCACAGGTTCAATCTGTCCTCTGAGCTTGTGCACACAATTTATTTAGGGTGCAGTTACTGTATTTATATGCACAAACAGATATCCTCTTACTTGAGTGGCTTTTGGAGACCGTATTTGCATAAGTAGAATTACGAGCACCAACATAGCATACTTTTGGAAAATTTGGCCTCCTGTTTTGTTTTTTTGTTTTTTGGGGTTTTTTTGTTTTCATTTTTTGCTAAATGCACTTTTCAGAGGTGAAGCTGAGCCACAGAATTCAGATTCTGGCTTCTGTCTTGATTTTTGACCCTGCTCATTCGTACTCAGTATTTTCCCATTTGGAGTTTTAGTTGGGCTCATTCTAAAAACAGGCCCCAGTGACAGAGTTCTGACTTCAGTTTCACTCCAAATGTCAGACTTCTTCACTCTGGAGTGGTTCAGACTGAGATTCAGAGTCACTCATATTTCTAGTCCTCATATCCTAATAAAGTATATGTAAATAAAAATAGAAAAATAAGTAATTACAAAGAATCTGGACTTTTTTGTTAAGTAGCAGTTCCCTGTTGTTTCTTCTACTTGGACAAGTGGGGCTCCATAGAGTAATGGATGACAAGAATGATCATTTTAAGATAGTATCTCCTATGAGTTTTTCTTTTATTTCTGCCTGTAGCCAAGCTACAGGAGTTCTCCGCACCATGTGAACTAACCCTGCTAGGAGGTCACAGCATTGGCTGTGTGAAATGTGATTAAAGCAACAAGATCCAGTCTACCATGCTGCAACATGGAGCCCATCTGACATACAGCGCTACGGGAGAAACAAAGTGAACGCTCATTGTAGATAAGGGGGAAGAGTAGGTAGGAATCGGAAGCTGTTTTACAAAAAACATCAGGAGCTGCTAATGGATTTGGATGAGCAGCAAAGGCCCTGGGGTAGGACTCGAGAGTGGCTTCCAGTCCTGGCTCTGCTACTGACTTTCCATGTGATCTGGGACCTTTCATCCTCTTCAACAAGTCAGATTTCAGTATTTACCTCTAATCTGCCTCATGAGATGAGCCAGTTTCTCCTTAAGGTAAATTCAAATCAGTCCAATAAGTCCTACTCTGGGAGTGGGGAGGCACCTTTGTGTGTGAATGGAATCTAGTGCAAGGGAGTTGTTCACTTCAGCAGAACGAAGACAGAGCCGTAGAACAAGCTGCACACTGATTGAGCGCTGAGCCCCGACAGGCCTCAGAACAATGCCCTTAGGTTTTATTTGTAACCTACTAACACATCTGCTCTAGGATTTGTTTCCCCTAGATTTCCCTCTCTTCCTGATAACCACTGACAATGGCAGCAGGGGAAATTAGTGCAGGCAAGTCTCCTCATGACCCCTAGACAGTGCATGATCTAATCCAGTGCATCAGTCTTTTAGAGTACCAGCTGGATGCTTGTGACCCAGTTGCGCCCTCACTGCAGGCCACCACTTCCCTCTTGTAAGGGAGGGAGGAAGGATGGGAGGTGGCTGCCAATGTGAGAGGGATGGGGAGGAGGGGGGAGAAAGCACCTGTCATAGGGGAGCAGAGAAGGGAGAAAGAAGGGAGGGAATAAGCAGTGTATGTCCCTGTCTTAGAGGAGAGAGTGCAGGAAAGGCCACAGGGAAGGGAAAACTCTGGGCCAGGCTCCTTGTCACTGATCACCTTGTGCTGTGGGCTGTGTTCAGTCACTTCAGAGACTGGTTTTGGCCCATATGCCATAGGCTGAGCTCCATTGATGTAATCCCTGCTCAGAGCAGGACTACACAACATTGTAATGACATTGCCAGCAGCTGCCATTCCAAGGTCACATGTAAAGGTAGAGGGAAAAGTTCTACCATAGATGAAGTTGTAGGGCCTGGTCCAAACCCTGTGGAAGCTGTTCCATTGACTTTAAAAGGCCTTTGAGTGGGCCTTGTCCTTCACTGCTTTGCACTCTTTTCAGCATCCTTTGTGAGATGAGTTGTGTAGTCTGCTTTCCAGGAGGGGTGGTATTTGTCCAGTTTGTTGGGTTTTTTTTCCCTCCACTTCATTGCTGACTTAGAGGATTCACCTCTACATTCATGACTGTCCATTTGCATTTAGCTGTATCATTGCTGATGTGCTGTTTTGTTTGGAATGATACCAGATATCTGTCTGTCTGTTTTGCTAAAACACTGTCCTTTGCTCGTGCAGTTCATTAACTCCCACCTGTAAGGAAAGGGGAGGAAGCTGGAAAAAAATCTTTTGTTTAGGAAGCAAATTTTTTGTTAATTAAGAATTCTGAGGTTAACTAACTTTAGGGGGAGCAGAGATAGGTTATTGCAAACCCCACCCATAGTCTTTTTTTCTAACAAGAAAAATTTAACTCAGTGCATACCCAGACTAATATTGCAAACCTTCCTCTCCCCCACTCTCACCCTCTGGCATGATGACAGAGCTGTAAAATTACTTGTATCTGGGCCTCCAACTGTACACAGTGTGGGGAACAAAGGCAGGCAGCATCCATTAAATTAATTAGGCAATGTTTGGATTGTGCTTTGAAGAGGGGAGGAAGTTGCTAAGCAAAGTCGTGATTCAGCAAAGCACTGAGGTCCACCCTTAACTTTAAGCATGTACTTAAATTTATCCCTGTCCACAATGGCATGAAATGCTGTTAAGTTAGTGGTTACTTAGGTGCTTTGTTGACCTGGGGATTGAGCACTTAGCATCAGGGCTGTGCGAAGCTTCAGTCGCTGATTTGATTCGTTGGAGATTCGGCCCAATTTTGGTGGTCAAATCCAAATCGGGAGACGCTTTAATCTCTCCAAATCGAATCGGAACCCTCAAATCGATTTGGAGAGATTTGCTGATTCGGACGGACACAGCTTTAAATGTTTTTTCTACATACCTCAAGGTACCAAGTGGCTTGTGAATGCTGAGATGGTGCGGTGGATGGAGCATCCCATGGGAACGTGGAAGGGTCCCCAGCACACTCGGCAGCGGACCCGGAAGTGAACCAGAAGCACTTCTGGTCCACTTCCGGGTCTGCCAGGGAGTGCACAGGGGACCTCCCCTCACCCCCCAGCTCGGCGACTGGTGACTCCTGGGTCGGGTGGGGGGGCCACCCAGGGTCCTACTGTGGCTGATCACTGAGCTGGAGGGCCATGGGGGGGCTGCGCTTCTGTGGGATGCTCCATCCGCCCCAGCATCTCAGCATTCACATGCTGCCCCTGGTACTTCAAGGTATGTAGAAAAAACATTTAAAGCTATGTCTGTGGCCAAATCGCTGATTCCCCAAATCAGCATTGAATCTTCAGATTTGGATTTGGCTGAATTGAATCAGGACAGTGATCCAAATCAACAAATGGAATCACTGTCCCCCGATTTGGGCTGAATCTGAATCAAATACGGCCTGTTTCGCACACCCCTACTTAGCATCATGAATGGCTTCTTTTACATAGACTGTTCCTAATAGAGTGCTATGTTTATATTAAACCCAAGTGGAGGTGGATTACTTTTTTCATGAAATCTGTTTTACAGATTTAATGTTGCACCCAATCTGAGCAGATGCCCCAATCTCCCTTTTGATTTACCTGTGCAGTCACTCAAAGTATGATCAGTACTGATGCACATGATGTTCTTTTGACATGCTGGTTTCTCCCCTATGGCTTTCTTGCTTTATTTAAAAAATAGTTTAGTTCCACAAAATCTTACTCTTTTTCAAAAATATTCCCTGTAAAACTCCCAACCCCTGCTGAGCAGATTTGTCCATTTGACACCTGTGTCATTGTGCATTTATTTTTACCATGGCAAACAGAAAGAGATGGAGAATATCCTGCATCACTGGTCCCTGGGCATTGTTCCTATTAGCCATCTTCTCCCTCCTGAGAGAGCACTAGTTTTTTGAGTTTGATGTACTATATCTAATTCCTTTGCACAATATTAATTTTGAATTTGTAATCATCCCACTAGCCTTTCAGAACTGAAGGCCATGCAGGAAGGACTTCCAAAAGCCCTGCAATGATTTCAGACTCCTTAGTAAATGCCCTGAACTCTAATCCCATTGTGGTAAACCCATCCAAATTACTTTTTATTTTCTCTCTATGGAAATGTACAGTTACAGTATCTTAGTGAAAAAAAATGGAGAAAGTAAGGGCTAGACTCCAGAGGTCTGGATTGACCAGGGCAGGGGCTGTCAGCCTTTTTAAATAAGTGTACCCCCAGCAGCCCCTTTTTAATAAGTGTACCCCTGGGGCGGAGTGGTAAGTGGCCAGACGTGGAGGGTGTGGGGGTGGTGAGCAGCTGGATGTAGAGTTGGGGGCATGGTGAGTGGCAGCAGTGCAGCATCTGTGCAACCCTGCTCTCGCCCTGCCCCAGGCCTGCTCCTGTGAGGTGGTGGCACAGGGTGGCGGCGCTCCATTCTGGCCTGCCCCTGCATACCCCTGGGACCTTTTGAAGTACCCCCAGGAGTATGCATATCCCCAGTTGACAGCCCCTGGACCAGGGAATGTGTCTGCCGTTGTTAGGGGTTGGGTGGCCACTGCTGGTCAGGGTTACTGAAAAATGTTTGGGTTGTGCCTTGCCGTCCTGAACAGTACTAGGGAGCTCTTCCATAAAAACAAGCAGGGGTCTCATCCATCGAGCCAGCCACTTCCTGATGCTTTTTGTACATGGAACACTGAGTGGGCGGGGCTTGTTTTCATGGCAACACTCCCCCACACTACCCAGCCTGGCATAGACATGACCATTGTCTCTAACAGCATGCTGAATGAACCTCCCAAGGACTGGAGCTCAGGTTCATACAAGCTTCAAGGGCCAAACATGTCTATCATATACCAGTGAGAGTGCACTGTGGAGGAGTTCAACTCCCTGTGTTCTCTGAACTCTGAGCCTCCTGAATGCACAGATGTGGGCGGGAAATCTTGTGAACCTGTCTGAGGTTCTTGGCTTCCTGTGTCTCATCTGAGATTGTAGTACATCCTGGTCCTTACAAAGCCTGGCAGAGTAGAAGGGGGACAGAAATTAATGACGACAAAAACTCCCCAGGTGGAAGAACATGAAATGGGCTTTTTTGGACTCGCCAGAAAAGATGTTGGTTCTACTGAATATTCACAGCAGGGCAACGTGTCTTATGCCCAACCCACATTGTCCATCTATAGTGCAGATTATAGTAATAAACTTCAGAGGGCACTTCCTATACATACATCACTCCCAGGGGGCACGCACAATGCAGTATCAGGCCACAAAATATATTTGTGGATTTGCTTTTTGTTGGTAATTGTCTGCCCACTGGTTGTGCTTTTGAGACCCTCCAAGTGAGCCTGGGAGTTCTCTGGATGAGCTTGACAATGACCTGGGGCATATGGGAGGGATGGCTCTCAACTAGGACATGGGTGGGAGGAAGAGGGTTCAAATTAGTTCTTGTGGAGGATTTCAGAAAGGCCCTGAAGCTCTACTACAGTTTTAGTTCAGGGTTGCCTCTGTTCTGAAGAACAAGTCCCACTAAAAGGTTGATTTGTTCATAGAATTAGTGTAGCATATCAGATCCTTGCCTGGTGTAACTGGAGTAACTTCAACTGAACTACTTTGCATTGCACCATCTAAGGAATTGGTTTAATCCTTGGTGGGAGGTCAGCTGGCTTTTTTTTTTGTCTTGTCCCAGATGTCATCAGGGGCCTTTCAAGAAATAATTACAATGTTTCCTTTCACTGTGGTCATTGGCCTTTGAGTCTGACGGTCTGAAACTTGTGCTTTCTGTCCATGTTCTTTTTTTCTCTACAGGAATGCAATGCAACACCGTTCACCTTCTGCAACTCTAGCTGTCTCTCTAACCTTTCATCTCACCCACCCTATCTGCTGCTCCAACCCTTTCCCTTGTGTTTTGCCATTGCCTTTCCCATTGCAGCACTCTGTGCTGCATTGCAATTGCATTGCTGTAGTCTTGGCATCCCCCGTTGGAAAATCTCGTGTGAATCTAGCGGTGGCGGGTGTTTTTTGTTTTACTCTGTTGTCTGTGCACCATGTTTTTTTTCTTTTAATTCTGACCAATATAACATCTGCTAAAATGTCTTCCTTATAATTTGCTTGGTGATCACACAGCCTTCTCATCATTCATTGAGAGCAGGACCAGATCTCACAGAGTCTGAAAAGAGCTATGTGGTAAGGCTGTTGTTTAAATAAGATGCATAGTCATATAGCCTCTCTGATCATAGACAGTAACATCTCAGTAGAGTTTAAAAGTGCCAGCTGCTTTTTGAGTCATAATATATATATGTGTGTGTGTGTGTGTGTGTGTGTGTGTGTATTATATAGATATATATAAATCAACATATTTGTAATGGAGAACTAGAATTTAGCACTTAGAACAGCTACCAGAACCAACAAGGAGTTGGTGTAGTTGACTTAGAGTTAAATGCATAGTGCATGACTGGAGAGTGCCAATTGGCACTCTTGGATTGGTAGACTAGAATCTGTGATGGTGCCACTGCTAACTAATTGCAACCTCTGATGCTGCTGCTTTTTGACAAATCTTCAAACTAAATACCAAATTCTTCTGTATCTTGCCTGTTTTTCCATGCTTACAACCTGGATCCCTTCTGCACTCCACTACCTGGATATATACCTGGATCTACAACTCTGTTGTTTTACTGGATTTATGTGCTGCATCTGGATTGTCCCATCTCTTCCTATCTTTTTTCCCTTTCCCTCCCCTCCTTGTTGACTGTTCTGTGGGTGTTTCTTGGATGTCAATGCTGCCTACCACGCAGGAAGCAGTTTGCAATGAGATCATAAACATTGCAGAAAAGTCTGTTCATTACTGCAGTACTATTTCTCAGCCTCTTGACTCTCGCCACAAGGTCACCTCTAATGACAATAAACCATCTCTAATCATTTCTCAGCAACCTCAAGCACAGCAGCAAGGAGCCAGCCCTGACAGGAGTCAAACACCACGAGACATGTAAGTTTCTCAGGCTGTCAGCTCTATCAGGGGCCTGGTTTATCAGGGTTGCCTTGGTGTTTTTCTTCACATGGCATCTGTGGATATGAGAGCACCAGCTTTCAGGGGAAAAAATATTTCCAGCTTTTGCTGTTGTAGTGAAAGGGCTGAAAACCAGAGCCTTGTATTTATGCAGGACTAAGCACAACAGACTCTGAATCGTGACTGGGGCTTCTCTGAGGGCTTGATTTGTGCTTTTGGAAGACTTGGCTTGGTAGTGCTGTATCATGACTTTCTGAAGCTTGAACTCTTGCTTTATGTGTATGGATGAAAGGGAAAGATCTGTCATTGAATTTGTGGTCCCAGGCTCTAATTCTTCACTGCCTTGCCCATTGTGATGCCATTTAAACTGGGCTGGATTGGGTACAATTTTCTACAAGTGTAAATGGCAACACAGTAGCAAAGCAGCAGAGAGTCAGGCCTGTTGTGTCATTTCATGGAGAAAGGAAGGTTCTCTGTTAGGGAAGCAGAGTACAGTAGAGTATCTGGAGATTCATTAGTGTAGGGTAAATGCTCATATATACAGTCAGTAGCTGTTAGTAACACGTTAGTACTATGTTGCTCCTAAGCGGTTGGTGCTGTTATAGGGAGTGGCATCTGAATACATGGTATAAAAAATGTTCCCAAGGAAAATGTTGCTGGTAAGTGGGTGTTGCTACAAATTAATACATGCCCAGGATCTGAGTCAGGTTACCACTCCAGAGATCCCAACACTGTAAGTATCTGAGGCTGCAGTGTCTGTAAAAATTGGGCACTTTAGCAGGGCTTGGCATTTTTAGCTAGAGCCAATTCAGTCAACTATTAGATAAAAGTGCCAAAAAAGCCCCACTAAAGTGCCCGACCTCTACAGACATTAGGAAAGCTGGGTGGAACTAACACGGTGCCTCTTCTGACAGGTGTTGGGCTCGGCATGGGAATGCACCGAGTATAAAGTAAAG